AACTAAGTATGCTGTTGAAACTTGGTAAGTAGATGTATTCTGTAAACCGCATTAAGATAAGCGATAAGAGAAGAAAACCAGCGTAAAATAGCAGCTTAACGCTGCTGTGTTTCGTATGGTGAGTGTAGAGAACCGGAGACCCTTTTTACTGGCAAAGAGGCATTCCATCTTAGTCCTCACGGGTGACAACGCATCTGCATCTTGAGTCTTTATTGAGGATAGATGTAGATGTCTATGGGTCGCAGTGGCCACTTACCATCAGGTGGACTGTGTGCTCGTTTGTCACCCTATCCTATAAAAAAAAAGATCACACAAAAATAGAAAAATAACAAGAAATTTTGGGGGTTCCCCATACTTAGAACTAAAACAGAAAAATTTTTTTTCATTAAACCCATACGTGTCCATCTATGGATAGATCTTCAAAAATGATATTGAGGTTTCTATATTTATTTTATCATTTTTTTCTAAACTGAATAGTTTGCGCAAGAGACACTTCCAAAGTGGTAAAATGTGTGCTTGTAACTTCTAAAATAAGAGAATGATAAAACTAAAAAAATATATGATGTACACCATGTAAACTTCCACCGAAAATTGGTTTGAACGAGATCTAGTAAGTAGTTTTTTTTTGATACGTCATAAATCTTAAACCGCAATTTACCTTTCATTCTATATTCCCGGTGATAAAATTGTCTCCTGCCCATGCTAGCCCGGCTGAGGACTAAGATGGAATGCTTTATTATTTTGAGTTGTTATCAGGAAGATGATGTTACCCATGCATACTGTGACAGAGGGAAATTATTAATTTCCCTCTGTCACAAGATGTTATTGGGTAGTTGATTTTCTTAGGCCGCCACTACAAATTGAATATAAAATATATAAACAATATTATCAATAATATTATAAAAATCTACGGAAAAAGTGATATTTCGTTTTTTTGCCACGAAATTGTATACAACGTATACATTCTTTACGTTCCTTCTCTTGGACATTGTGTACGAACAGACAATATCGAGCGTAATTTATTTATGCGCAGTGTTGCGTGGTCGCGTAATTATCGATAACGAGGCAGTTGGCCAAAGCGACGTAACGTAGTAATGAACAACAAGTTACATAATATGTACATATTACAAATCATTTTTTTGGTGTATTTATTGGAACGAAGTTTCTTATCGGACGGTACGGATTTGGCGGATGGGGACTAGGGGACAAAAAGTGTAAGATTTTTCCGTCTGTAGACGGCCTTGGCGGCTTGGAAGTGCGATGGAATAATATCCATCTCCCTCGCACTTTTTCTTATCTTGACATTAAAGAAATATTAATTTATTTTAAATGACGCTTCATTCTGCTTAATTCATTTATTTGTATTTGTTAATCAATAATATAATACGTTTATCAATATTAATAATATATTACAAAATGAACTTCGTTCCAACCGAGTGTTCCTCAACACTCACGCATGTTTTTTTTTTTATTTCTATAATTTGAATTTAACAATTGACTAACAATTGTTATCGTTACAGGCTATCAAGAGTCCACTGCTGTAATGTAAAGGGGAGGCCTATGTTCGGCCTCTGTTTAACATTGCATCGTAGGGGGGATATTTGTCATGGTTGCCACGCTTGGCGGGTGGGTTGGTACACGCAGTTTTTTTTTTATTGAAAGACGCTACTGTTCAACTCCTAGTTTATTTCCCTCTGTCGGCTCTTAAGCCTTTTTTCTTACATCGCCACTACACGGTAAATAAAAAAAAAGTAATAATGATTTTTATTACTATAAAAAAACCAAAACATATTTTGTGTTATGAAAGAGCGTCCTCTTCGTGTTTGTTGTTAAGGCAATACACACAATCAATTTTAAACGATTTCAATTACACTAATCAAACAGTTGGCGCCAAGCCAACACAGCCACTTGCATTGTTGTTAAAATACTACTATAATAAAGTAACGCCTCATTACATATATGAAAAAATCATAAACGTTTCTTTCAATTAAAATAATTTTATTTTGTTTAGGGTACGGGAGTGGGGTCGAAAGGAAATAGAGTCGAAAATAGTAGTTACAGTAGTTTACGTGGTAGAGCCACGCTGTAGCTATATTATGGTTGTACCACGAATGGGTCGTTTCGACCGGGGAAGGAGCACGCTCTCACAGAATGAAATATTACCACCATGACAAATACAACCAGCGTGAAATAGCAGTTAACGCTGTTGTGTTTCGTATGGTGAGTGTAGAGAACCGGAGATCCTTTTTACTGGAAACGAGGTATTCCATCTCTGTCCCCAGGGGTGACAACGCACCTGCATTTTGAATCTTAATCGAAGATAAATGTACATCAGGTGGAATATGTGCTCGTTTGTCACCCCTATTCTATACACAGTCCAAGTCATGATACGAGTAAGTGGCAGCATCAACTTGCCCGATGGCATTGCCCAATGGCCCAAAATTGTCCCATGAATAACCAAAAGTACCATTTTATTAGTAAACTAGTGACTCGCCTCGGTTTTGTCTGGATCGGGTTCGATTAATGTAGGATTATTTAGATTAATGATTATTTTAATGTTTTATTTTTTAAGAAATATCTCACAGTTTTTGGGATGAAATACAGGCTAGATTCCTAAATCACTCTTGTCATTGCTCTCTATCTGTACGTGGAATTTCATTACAATCGATTCTCCCATTCCGAAAATTAGTCGTGATAGACATATAGATAGATAGACTAACAGACATCATCATCATACTGTTGGAAGATATCCACCTTCATTTCTAAGTTTATCACGCAGAGAAACACCGAGAATTGATCACTCTATAGCTCACTGAACGGCCTTGAGCTTCCTCATACGAACAGCAGTTAAGAAACACGTCTCAGATCCATAAGTCATCACTGGCAACACGCACTGTTTGTACAGTCTTGTTTTCAAGTTTTGACGTATAACTAAACTGACCATATATTTTTTAACTCAAAACGGGACATGTTATATTTTTACAGAGTTTATTCATACTCGCCAGTTAGCAGGTTAACCATAAAAACACAACTTTTTAATGTTATTTATTCCGAAAAGGGACAGTCCCGTTCAAAACGGGACGTATGGTCACTTTAGGTATACCTGACGAGTCGTGTGTCGTAATCTCCCGAACGCTGCCCAGCCGAGTTGGATCCATCGATTGACTTCTCGGTCGTTGTTGAACCTACCTAGTTGGACTATTTATCCCCGGTAAACATACTCGTCAACGACTACCGACATAGGTGTGACATGGACGTTATGCATGACCTTTGTTTTGTCCAAGTTCATTTTAAAATCTATCCATTTGGAGGCATTAATGAGTTCATTAAGCTTAGTACTTAGGTCCTTCAGCGATTCTGCCATAAGGACTATTTCGTCAGCAAATCGAAGGCGAGTGATTTACTCGCCATTGATGTTATATCGTATCTTTTCCAGTCCAGTAGCTTGAAAACGTCTTCCAATGCAGCGGTGAAGAGTTTCGGGCATACAACGTCACCCTGTATTACACCTCTCTGCAGTTGCATAGGTATCGTACTCTGGTTCTGTACTCGGATAGCCATCGTAGCCCTACTGTACAAACACTTCAGCACTTACATATACCGACAGTCAACTTGGCACCGCTGAAGGGACTGCAGCTCTGTCCAAATTTTGACGGAATCAAAGGCTTTCTCCTTTCTCATAGTCCACATACGCCAGACATAGTGACAAATTGTAATCCTCGGGCTTCTGTACAACTAGCGGATGGGTATGTATGTGGCCTATGGTGCTAAATAAAGCCTTTTCGGTCTCGAGTCGTCGAGTCTGCGTGCGAGACGATTCGTAATGACTCTCGAAAACACCACGTAGACGCGGCTCAGAAGGGAAATAGGTCTGTAGTTCTTCAAGAGATCGTTGTCACCTTTCTTGAATAACAAGACCACCGCACTTCTGCTCCACGTTGTAGTGCCACCATGGAGAACGGAATTAAAGAGCTTCTGAAGGACTATCAAATATCGATTTTCCACTCGCTTTCAGAAGCTTTGCTGTAATTCCATTCTCGCCTGGGGCCTTGCCGTTTTTAAGGTGCTTGAGAGCTATTCTAATCTCGCTCAGACTGACGTCTGGGATATCATCGGAATAGTGTCGGATAAGACTTGCTCTTGGATTGTTACTCACACTTGCATGTGTCTCCAACGATGATGTGTACAGCTGCCCGTAGAACCTTTCAATCTCATTCGAAATCTCCAGCAAAGTCTTTGGAGCCCTGGTTTCGCTCGATCGCTTCTTCAATACGAGCTGTATTAAAGTTGCGTAAGTCCTGCCGCATGTATTTGGAGATCTGTCTGCTCAGTTGCCTGTACGCTGTCAAATCTGCTGAAGACTGCAGATTCATTTCACGTGTAATAGCCGTGAGATTAAGAGTGTGCTCGGAGAGTTTTTGTGTCTTTCTGCGGCGGGTCTTGCAGAACTTAGCTCCGACCGCATAGATAGTTTCCACGAGCTTGTCATTCATATCGTCTTCTGCATTGCAATCTGCTGGGCACTGAAAACTGTTTCGTAGCTCGAGCTAAAAGGCGTTGGGACTCTGGATTAGAGCACGAGAAGGACGGAGCGTTGATTTTATAAGACGAGACCTCTCCAACTTAACGTTTAGGTTCAGTGTGCCTCTAACCATTCGGTGATTGCTACCAGTTTTCACCCTCGCGATCACTGAGATATATAAGATAAAACTAACCGTTACAGCTGACTAACTAACCGTCCGCTGCTGAACTTAGGTCTCCCTCATAGATTACCATTTAAAGGTGATATTTGTCATATTTTTAGTGGTTATTAAGAAAATGTTGCAGCACTCTGCATCTCCTGTTTCAGTTTCCCTCTATCGCCTCTTACGACACCTACGGGACCTATGGGGTAGTGGATATTCTTACACCGCCACTACACGGTTACAATAGGATAAAACTTAGTAAATCATACTAAGGAAATATAGGTAAATTATATTAATTATTGTCTATTTTTATAGGTGGAGTTTTGGTCTCTTTCGTAAAGGATATAAGCAAGGCCTTACAATAGAAGATCTGTTTCAAGCGCGTGATAGCGATCACTCAGGGCGACTCGGCGACCGCTTGGAAGAGGCGTGGCAAAAAGAACTTGATAACGCTCGTCGCACAGATTCAAAACCTTCACTTGCGAAAGCTATAATAAGGTCATTTTGGCTTGAATACATGCTATGTGGGTTTTTGACTGGCATATTGTTTATAATTTTATGGTGAGTCTGGTTTCATTTTATTTAACTAACGATGGATGTAGTTTTTTTTTTATAGGAGAGGTGCCAAACGAGCATGCGGCTCACCTGATGGTAAGTGAGTAGTGACTACCGCCGCCCATGAACAACTGCAACACCAGGGGAACCAGGGGAATTGCAGATGCGTTGCCGGCCTTTTAAAAAGGAGTAGGCTCTTTTCTTGAAGTATATGTAGTATTATGTAGTTTGGGTGGTGTTTGATATTATGCCCGTTTATTTTTTTATTTTTTATTTTTTACTTTTTTATCTTTTGTTTTTTAACTTTTGCTTTTTAATTTGAGTACAAAATAGTGATTCTAGGCTAATATTTCAATATAGGTATAATTATGTATTTGAACGCCTTAACGTTTTATAAATTCATTAATCAATTTTGAGAAGTAAAAATTGCATTCTTGTTTCAGGCCATTAATTCCGTTCACACTGGCATTATTTATTGGATATTTTTCCGATGAAAAGACTCCAGAAAATTACAGAAATGCTCATATTAATAACTTTCTGATGAATTTCTTAAGTGTTTCAACATCCCTTATGTTGAATCATGCACAATTAGCTCAAGGTTGCGTTGGAATGAAAGTAAGAATTGCTTGCTGCTCTTTACTGTATAGAAAGGTGAGTTCATAGGTGACATTATAAAAAAAATATATTACACGATTTAAAATTTAGTTCTTGAGTACGGAACAACTTCTATTTTTTAAATTGCAGATATTGAAACTCAGTTGTTCGGGTCTGGGCAAAACAGAGCCCGGACAGGTGATAAATTTAATGTCAAACGACGTTAACCGTTTTGATATAGCAGCTCCATTTTTGCACTATATATGGATTATGCCGATCGTGGTACCAGTAGTATCGTATCTCGTGTGGCAGCATGTTGGACTGGCGACGCTAGCAGCGCTTGCCGTTATATTTCTTCAGACTGTTGTTGTTCAAGGTATAATGATTTGACAACGCTATCACATTACCCATCATTTAAATCTAGATACGGGCTTTTTACTTTATATGCAACTAGCGACCCGCCCCGGCTTCGCACGGCTGATTTCTGGATTTCGACAACAGCGCCACTTACCGGGTCCAATTGTGAATCTTTTAGATCATCCAGGGTCCCACTCAAACACACAAATATTTAATCAAAATCGAGGGTGTGAATGAAATGATGAAATGTGAGGGTTTAGCGAGACTAAAGGAGCTATAGATTAAAAGTAAATTTTTATTTTATTTTTAATGCTCTTTGTGGGTGAAATTTTATATAATCCGTTCTTGGTAATTTTTAACATGCCAAAGAGAATATTGTGGCCAAGTTTTATACCTATAAGAACTATAGTATGAAAATGTGGCATTCTTTTTAATTAACGCCCCCGTAACACAAAATTTTCAAAAAAGGGAATTCATTGAATTTGAATTTCCCTTTTTGAGGATTTCTGATTTACGCGGTAGAGCTACGCTGCAGCTATATTAGTTGTAGTACGAATGGGTCAGCTCGACCGGTGTAGGACCACGCTCTCACAGAATACCAGCGTAAAATAGCAGCTAAATGCAGCTGTGTTTCGTATGGTGAGTGTAGAGAACCCGAGACCCTTTTTACTGGAAACGTGGTATTCCATCTTAGTCCTCAAGTATGACAACGCATCTGCATTTTTATTCGTAATCGAGGATACATGTAGATGTCTAAGGGCCACAGCATCCACTTACCATCAGGTGGACTGTGTGCTCGTTTGTAAATAGTTTTATTCTATAAAAAAAATATATAATATAACTATGATATTCTTTATCTGGAACTTTATAGTTTTTTTTTTAATTTAATGCGAATTTTATTTTAAAACTTTGATGCGTTTAAAATAATATCTCAATAAGTATTTTAACATTTTCAGCATACTTAAGTAACCTTCAAGGCAAATTCAGAGGCAAAATTGCTAAGCGAACTGATGAAAGAGTTAAAGTGATGAGTGAACTCGTGAACGGAGTCCAAGTCATAAAGATGTACGCTTGGGAGAAACCCTTTGAGAAGTTGGTGGATAAACTAAGAAGGTATGTGCAGTTTGAATATAAGTTCGTTTAAGTGTTGAACCACTGATACAAAATATTTAGTTGAATAACCACTGATACAATATATAATCGGAAAATGATTTTTGAAATATTTTGTGTTATTAAAGTAGATAAAGCCACGGACATTTCTATGAAATATTAATTATTTGGACTTTACCGCATTTAAAAGCATGGATAATTCTAAGTTAACCCGACAAGGTGAGTCTAGTGGACAACGTCCTTAGGCTTTAAGGGTGGCAGAAAGAAACCACCTCTACTCGCGCCAAACCGCATCGTAACATAGCGCTAACGTTTCGCTTATAATGTAATAATGAAATTAGGGTATACTAGGAAAGTATACCCTATTTTCATTATTACGTTTCGATCGATAGCGCCCTTATGTCTACCATTATCGTTATCAGACGGAGTCGCCGTCAACAAACAAAACAATTTAATTTCAAGATTTGAATTTAAATTATTAACGAAAAAAGAGCTAGCCTTCATTAAAATGATAAACTTTTTTGCACAATGTGTGTTAAGAATTTAAAGCTCAAAAAAGTGCTTTAAGGAGATAATAAAACTGGCATAAATCAGGAAGTTATAAAAGGAATTATATCTGTAGGTGCTGGATATAACCAGCTTCATATTGTTCTTGCCTATGGAGACATCCCACCGCACGTTTGCGGTTGTGAAGAAACGCGTTATTACGTTTACAGAGGTAGGAACAAACTGTGTAGCATTGTATAGTTGAGGTTAGGAAAGGTTGAGCATGTAAAACTCATCGTAAATGTGTCGTCTCAAGCAATACCAATGAAAGCCGTAATTGCAGAGGCTTGTTGAGTAAATGTTTATACGGCACAAGCTACGATGCTTCCTCTAACGCTGCGACAATTGGTGACCAGCACAGTAAAGAAGTCGTGTACAGTGGGGTGAAAAAATATTAAAAAATAAAAACAAATATTATGTCACATGTTCCCGATCAGAAAACAAAGTAATTGAGCCACCAGATCATATGTCATTAAAAAAATTGGTAAAAGGTCATTGTCAGAATACGAAACTATGCTTATATTATATTGTTACGAGCTTAGGGTGCGACGCAATTAAAAACTGCCGATTGAATTACCAAATTGTATACTTGGGGAGTGCTTTTAGCCGGGATGGAAGATGTGATTTAGATGTGGACAGGCGTGTTGCTGCCGGGAACAAAGTCAATGGTGCCCTGACTGCGTTAGTCAAAAGGCAAGGCGTAGCGAAGAGTGCACGCCTTGCAATACATAACGCAGTGTTGGTACCGACTTTGTTATATGGCAGCGAAACCTGGGTATGCCAGAAGAAGCATAAAAGTAAGTTGAATGCAGTGGAGATGCGATCTCTTCGTAAAATGTGCGGCGTTACTATGGCCGACCGAAAGCGAAACGAAGAGATTCGCAATATGGCAGGTTTGAAAGATGACCTTATCACAAAAATTGATAAGGGCGTGCTTCGGTGGTTTGGGCACGTTGAGCGAATGAGTGAAGACCGAATGGTGAAGAAAATATATAGCGCGAAAGTTAATATTAAAAGGTGTCGAGGTAGACCGAGACTAACTTTCGAAGACCATGTGAGCAAATTGCTCGAAGAGGGTAGGGTCAAGAGTACTCGGATACCTAGACGTGCATGTATGAAGAAGATAATGAATCTGAAAGAAGCGAAAGAGATATGTAAGGATCGTGACACTTGGCGATCTGTTCTCTCTGGCTACCCCGTCAGGGATTGTGCGTGAAGATAAGTAAGTAAGTAAAGAATTACCAAAATTGACACTTTAATTACAGAACACTAATTACAACTTAGAAACACACTAATAATAAAACACAATTGTACTACTGATCACTTTAGTTCGCATTTATATCACTTCGAAGTATTCGGTTATATCGCCAATACAATACTATCTCGGTCGCGGTCTATACCGGCCTTATATAGGGCCTCAGGTAGTTTCCATAACCTTCTACTATAGAAACATCTAGAATGTTCGAGTACATATCGGTCCCGATATTTCTAGAAGGATCTTGACTCTCTTAGTTCTGCTACTCGATACTAGAGGGTGCTAGTGGTAACTAGTGTTGCCATGTACAAGACATTAATAGTGGCGCGCAACAATATACTTGATCTTATATTACAGTTAAAACTATATTGAAAGGAGCACTGTTTTACAAAGTGCAAACTCGATCTTGAAAACTAGAACAGAAGTTGATAGCTTCATGGTTTACCATAGTTTGCAAGCGGCTTTAAAATGCCAACTGTGGTTTCCTTGTTAAGCAATTTCTGAGTGTGTCAAGTGCAATGTATAATAGCAAGAACAATGAACGTAAAGCGTCCCGATAATTAGAAAGGGCATTAAATGTTAACATACATGACTTTAGTTTACGGCAAATATGAACTTGGTTAATTAGAAGAGAAATGCGCATTGATCCGATTATAAAATGGAATCCGAAAAAGCAATCAAACACAAGAAAATTGATTTTTGATTGTATAAATCTGAAATTTTCACAGTCAACACAAAAAGCAAATGGTACTGCCAAGTTTAGGGTCCATTACGAACTCGTCAACATATGTGTATATTTTCCTGTAGATAGGCGACGGTAAAATTAAATTTGAATTCATAAAAAAAGACGGCCAGTTCTGAAAGGAAAACGTGGAGGGACTTTTAGTACAATTCTACAATAACTGCTTACTTCCAGAGCTAGTTGATACGCAAGAAATATGAATCTAAGATTTCAAAGCTCACATACGAATAAAAACATACCGATGAAATAACGTGTAAAAGCAAAAACTTTACTGTTTTATTTTTGATTTTTTAAAAAATAGATTCCTCACTCACACATATAATCGGTACATGCATGCTAATATAGCCGCAAACCCACACGTGCTTGTGGCGTCCTGTACAAAATTATTTTTTAATAATGCTGAACCCGCACCCCAAATTTAGAAATAATATAAACATTATTATCATGCCAGATACCAAATGCATTTGCAAAGTTTCGTCAAGTAACTTTACTTAATACTTGTAAAATTAATAATACTTCAAGTATCCTCATAACAACAAAGAAAGAAAAACGGAGCGCTGCGTACATTTCTTTGTTGGTCTGAGCAAGTATCAAGTTTAGTTAGGTAGGTATAATATTTAAAATATAGCGGATAACCGTTTTAATGCGCGCATGCGTGTAAGTCGGCTTGCAATTCAAATATCTGAATTCGAGTACGTCAAAAACGTAAATACGTCCTTAAATCGTGTGAGTACGCTTCATCATTCATCATTACAGCCTTTCATAAGTACACTGCTGAACATAGGCCAAGGAATGCCAAGGAAAGCACGGTCCTGAGCCACCTGCATCCATTGACTTCCTGCATGTCTTACCAGGTCGTCACTCCATCTCGTGGGGGGTCGCCCTACACTTCGCCTACCGGTACGAGGCTGCCACTCGAGAACCTTTCTTCCCCATCGGTTGTCGGTTCTTCGAGCTATATGACCGGCCCACTGCCACTTCAGCTTACTAATCCGTTGGGCTATGTCGGTTACTCTGGTCCTACTGCGGATATACTCATTTCTAAGTTTATCACGCAGAGAAACTCCGAGCATAGCCCTCTCCATAGCTGGCTGAGCGACCTTTAAGGTTTTGAGGTATGTCTGACGAGAAGATGTGTCGTAGCTTCCCGAACGCTGCCCAGCCGAGTTGAATCCGTCGATTGACCTCTCGGTCGAAGTTGGACTTACCTAGTCGGACTATTTGTCCCAGGTAAACATACTCGTCAACAACTTCGAGCTTAGTGCTCCCAACAACTACCGGCATAGGTGTGACATGGACATTAAACATAATCTTTGTTTTGTCCATGTTCATCCTAAAACCTATCCGTTGGGAGACACTATTGAGGTCATTGAGCATAGTGCTTAGATCCTCCAGCGATTCTGCCATAAGGACTATATCGTCGGCAAATCGAAGGTGAGTGATGTACTCGCCATTGATGTTAATACCGTATCCTTTCCAGTCCAGAAGTTTGAAAACGTCTTCCAATGCAGCGGTGAAGAGTTTCGGGGATATAACATCACCCTGTCTTACACCTCTCTGCAATTGGATAGATTTCGTACTCTGGTTCTGTACTCGGATAGCCATCGTAGTTCTAGTGTACAAACACTTCAGTACTTCGATATACCGACAGTCAACTTGGCACCGCTGAAGGGACTGCAGCACCGCCCAAATTTCGACGGAATCAAACGCTTTCTCATAGTCCACATACGCCAGACATAGTGGCAAATTGTACTCTTCGGACTTCTGTACAATTTGCCGAAGGGTATGTATGTGGTCTATGGTGCTAAAGCCCTTTCGGAAACCGGCTTGTTCGGGAGGCTGGAAGTCGTCAAGTCTGCGCGCGAGACGATTCGTAATGACTCTCGAAAACAGCACGTAGACGCGGCTCAGAAGGGAAATCGGTCTGTAGTTCTTCAAGAGAGCGTTGTCACCTTTCTTGAAGAACAAGACCACCGCGTGAGTGCGCTTGCACAAAGTTATTATGGAATAATTAACTCTTGGGATCGTGCGGTATCTAGTAGATACGAAGGGGCTACGTCTCAGGGAAAGCCACTATGACAGGATTGAGCGCGGCAGCTCCCCTCCTAGCTGGGTTTTAGATCGTCCCCGTCACCTCTGTTTTGTCCGCTGCTCGTCGGATGAGGTTAAGACTGTGGGTCGAATCTGTGGGTGCCCTATTTTTGCTTCGTGGATACATCGCGCGTCCCCAGGCAATGAATTCGTAGTTACGTTTTTTTAAAAATTGATTTGCATATTGTGATCTAATTGGTCCTTTGTAGGTTAGTTAATGCATGACTATTTATATGATGACAGTTACCCAACTGCTAAGACATTCATCAATCAAAAAAGAACAGAATAATTATTGCGCGCTATATATATATTAATAGCGCTTTCCCGGCTTCTTGTTGCACTTCCGTCCCCTTTTACGAAATCACTACCATCGATTGCGCGAAAGCGAGTGTAAAGATGTTACACATCAATAATATATTATCGTTTGTTAACAGATTGGAAGTGAGTTATATATTGAAGACTTCTCTTATTAAAGGGTTCTCGACTGCTCTTAGCGTGTTCACGGAGCGTTTCATCTTATTCTCGGCAATCGTAACATTCGTCTTGTTGGGCGGTAATATTCGTGCCGAAATAACATTTTCTCTAGTGCAATACTTCAATCTTTTGCAGCTTGCCTGCAACATATGTTTCCCAATGGCTCTAGCATTTTTGGCGGAATCCATGGTCTCCGTACGAAGATTAGAGGTATTTTAACAACCGTATACAAATTAAGTATATTATACTTTTAAAAATTATCTATAGATTTCTTTCCTTTCTTTTTCCAGGAATTCCTCTTGTTAGATGAACTAAAATCATTTAAAGCTAAGGAACTTTCCTCTGACTCTAAAGGCCCAATTACTAATGGCGTGGATAAAGAAAAACAGTCTGAGAAGGACAAACCAAATCCAACAGGGTTGATACTGACCAACGTTAGTGCCAGTTGGTCGCAGAACCCTATCGTAGAGACTTTGAGAAATATAACGTTGAATGTAAAGCCCGGAGAGTTTGTAGGTGTCGCAGGACTTGTTGGATCAGGAAAGGTTGGCATTATAAGAATAATGGTTTAACTTTTTCTGAATATAAAAGATAACGATTTTTTTATAAAGTACAAAATTTCAGGTAGAATATTTTGCATCAAAGTCTATCAATCATAGTGATTACCTACCTTTTTTCAGTCAAGCCTGTTGCAACTAATTCTGGGTGAGTTAGAACCATCGCACGGGACCATATGTTTGGGCGGTGCGCGAATATCGTACGCAAGCCAGGAGCCGTGGCTATTCGTTGCTACCGTGCGTCAGAATATTCTGTTCGGACTGCCCTACGATCGCGTGCGTTACAAAAAGGTAATAATGACATTTGTATTGACTTACCGAGCTTAGTCGGCTGGTGCGTAAAGATATTGATTTTAAATTAATTACCACCCCCGTTTCATTTTGTCCTTGACCTAATCCACATATTCTTAGTTAAATACTGTGCTTAAGACTGTGCTAAAGATTAATTTAATAGATTTAAATTACAATCAGTAATATTTTTTTATAGGATAAGGGTGAAAAGCGAGCACACAATTCATGGTTTATGTCATATAACATATAACATTTTTTAAAACTCTCCAGAAAGAAGTTCTAATGCCGTGAAACAGTCCAGATTCTCGTAAAGTATTTGACAATTTAAATTACAGCCCATAGACATCTATATCTATCCTCAGTTAATTATAGGAGGACTGCGGTTCTTTACACTCACCATACGAAACAGCAGCATTAAGCTGCTATTTTACGCTGGTATTTTGTGAGGGTTTGGTCCTTCTCCGGTCGAGCCGACCCACTCGTGCTATAGAATTAATATAGCTGCATCATGGCTCTACCACGTTTTAAATATTTTTCCCATTTAATATATTATATTGGCTGACATCTTCTAAAGTAATTAATCGATAAAAAATATTGCAATTAGCTTAATAAATAATATGTCAAATAATGTTATCATTCTGTTATAATGACAGAAATCAGTTTAAATGAGATTATACTTTATTCCAATTACGAAGTCCCATTTGACAGATGTCAATAATCAAGTACTAGTAAAGTACTGCTATAGTCGATACTTGACGATATTGATCTTCGATTACTATAACGAACAAATTAAAATCGTATTGACAGAAAAAGGATTAGCAATTAGCATCAAATTAAAATTTATAAAACTGTTTTTTAATTTTAATTAGATAATATTACATGATATTTTTATCAAGATGGAACATATTCATCATCACTAGCCGAAATCGATATTTCATGGTCGGCATCGTCGTCATCACCCTCATCATCGTCTGTAGAATCCCCTGTATTTATTATAATTTGGTTATCTATGACGGCATTGATATGTATGTCTCTGTCCCAATCAGCGAAAATCAAATTTTTTGTTCGTAAAACCACACTTTCCCAATTCGCGGCAGTAACACGAACAGTCACAAGGTTCTTGCAACAATAACAGCATTTTGTTTGCAGTAAACGGTGAGCTGGTATTTTTACGAGCCGCATAACCTAAAATAAAGGTTTGTGTGTTAATATAGCAACAGATAAAATGTTAAAATAGGTAAAAATAAATTATAAAAAAGATTTGTTTAAATTCTTGACTTTAATTTGCGCCCAAATCAATTCTATGGCATTGTATTGACAATGGTAGGGTGGATGGCGCATTACATTGTGTCCGGCTTCCTTAGCCATTTCGTCCAATACGTGTTTTGGTCTAGCTAGTTTATTTATAGCAACCAAATGCAGCAGCTCAACTTTTAACATGGACATGTCACCAACAATATTATTGTCATTCAGCCATTTCACAATATCGGCTTTTTTGCTGCTAGAAGTTGGAGGCTTACTTATTTGTACTGAATGATACGGTGCATTATCCATAATGATCGTCGATGGCTCATTCAAGTTGGTCAATAAGGTACAAAACCATTCCTAAATTTAACAAAATTCATCTCTTCGTGGTATTCCACACTTTTCTTAGATTTAAACGCCAAGAAGCAGTTCGGAACAAATCCCTTCATGAAATCCGCATGACAAATAATTAAGCGTTCGCCTTTGCTACTAGGTACTTTTGTGGAGGAGTGAGGAGTGTCGTCTGTCCATATCTTGCCAACTGTATGATTAGCGTTTAGCCACGTCTCATCTAGAAATATAACATTATTCCAAATGGCAATGGACTTTGCTGATCTTAGAAAATTAAATCTGGCTAAAGCTATATCTCTACGTTCCATCAAAATCCGCCTTTTATCACATTTTTTATCAGAAAAGCCAACATTTTTTAAAACCCTCCAGAAAGAAGTTTTACTGCCGTGAAACAGTCCAGATTCTCGTAAAGTATTTGACAATTTATCGAGAGTCGGCAATTCGTTCCTACTATAGTAGCCATAGATATGGTTTCTAATGGAGTCGTTATCAAAATTGTCGACATGTGTAACTATCGATCTTCTAACTTTTTTTCTTAAGTGGCGATTTTAATTTGTTATTTTCCATTAAATCTTTACCATGTTTTTCCTTACTTATAAGATTTTTACGATAAAACTATTATCTGTGGCTTAATAACATAAATAAACAAACATGGATGTGTATCTATTACCTGAAGCAAGCAATATAATGTTTTGTTAGCTAGTAAAATTTGTTGATTATGCAAAATACTTTTTTAAAATTGTTTCATATTATATTTAATATATGTACTCGTATGTTTAAACTTTGTATATTTTTGTGTTATTATCATTTTATGTAATTATTATTGTAAATTAAGGGGTGATGTGTAATTGTCAATAGGTAGTTTCGGCATGTGCATTACTTCGTGATTTTGAGTTGCTGCCGGCTGGTGACGCAACATTGGTGGGTGAACGAGGCATCAGCTTGAGTGGAGGCCAACGTGCCCGTATTGGTCTAGCCCGAGCTTGCTACAGACAGGTTTGCTTAAAACAGGATTAATTATAAAAAAAAAACAATATATTGTTATCATCATTACAACCCTTCACAAGTCCACTGAACATAGGCCTCCCAAAAAAAAAAATTGCCACAAGGCACGGTCCTCGACTTCCTGCATGTCTTACCAGGAGGTCTTGACGTTTCTCTATTTAGTGGGAAGACGTCCTACATGTCTATGGAGAGGTACACTTCTTCCTGCGACCAAGAGATGATAGGAAAGGGCTATGCTTGGGGTTTCACTGCGTGATATACTTAAAAATAAGGATATTCACAGTAGAACCAAAGTGACCGACATAGCCCAGCGGATTAATAAGCTGAAGTGGCAATGGGCATATAGCTCGAAGAACCGACATCCGATGGGGAAAAGTTCTCAAACGGCAGTCTCGTACAGGTAGACGAATCCACTATATTATACTTTATTTAAAATAATTTTATAGTCACATTTTTTCAATTTCTTATACATAAAATATAAAAAAATGTATGTTAGTGTTGTATAATATTAATATTATCACGTTATAGATAAAAGTTCATGTTATCACGTCATAGATAAATGTTCATATTATCACCTTATAGATATGTTTTAGAGAGGCGAGGCAACTGAACTTCAGAATTAAGGCGGCTACTGACGTGCCGCCGCCGCAGGGGCAATCTAGGGTGTAGGGATGGGGATGACACTTAATTGCCTCCTTAATTGTGATGTGTGTAGGCAAGCAGGGCCAATTTTTTAAGTCGGCCCTGCGGTAGGGCGGCAGGAGCGCAAGACCTTCCTTGCTTCCTAGATTGGCCCTGCCGCTGTCGCGTGTGTAGCGAAATTGGGGCAATTTCAATCAGTTCGTTGCAACTTTCGCGCGGAGCACACGTATGAGTACAAGTCAGAACCGCAAAAAGTATGTTATTTGAACGTTGTAACTTACAAGTAACATTACTGCGATTTGTTACCTAACTTATCATAAGGGCTAGTATGGGAAAGAATATATTCCAATGGTATTAAAATTGCTGGTATATAAATAAAGTGTCATTAACTAAATAATTAAACAAAAATACAAATTTTAGTAATTAAATTTATTAAAACTCATAATTAGAAAACTATCCTGGCTATTTGTAACACTAGTTAAATTATAGTTACCTACTAAGCACTAGTTAGTTAAGTTATACCACAGAATAAATTGGTTATATAAAATTATGACGAGTGAAGTTAGTCATATTTTTAATTGTCTTTGATAACCTAAAAATAGTGTGGCAGAGCTATGCTGCACCTTATAAGCACTATATTATGGTTGTAATTATTAATTAATTAGTTGTTTTATTGACTAACATGGGTGTCTATGGGCCACAGTGTCCACTTACCATCAGGTGGACTGTGCTCATTTGTCACCGTTAAAAACTAGCTGACCAGGCAGGCGTTGTTCTGCCCTTTTTGAGTTTTTTTTAGGAAAGCAAATGGTCGTCGGAAAGGGCAGAACAACGTCTGCCTGGTCAGCTACTTCTATATAAAAAAGAGCCAAGGCTATGTATACCGATTTATTGATATTTCGATGAAACTGGTGCCATTCTCAACGCGTGCGTCCAGCGAGACGTACACTCTCATACTGAAGCTGAACGGCAGGCGTGTGTGTAGAGACAGCTCCGATATTGCTCCGATCGCTGTGCTCCCTAGATTGCCCCTGCGGCAGGCATGTCAGTAGCCGCCTTTAGGCGGAAAACATTTTTTTGAGTAACTACACGTTACGTAATATTGGATATATGTAGAATTAAATTTTATATATGGATTTGATATCTTATGATTAATATGACCTCGAGGGCTGTAAAATGGTTAAATTAGAACTAGGTACATATATATTAATATCGTCTCTTAGTTGTTTTGGCAATTTACACAGTTATATTGTTCAAAGTTTTCGATAATGGTTCCGTAATTTATACAGCTAAGTACAAGACTTCAAGATACTGTAAGCTCGTTCTCCATAGATCGGACCAAAAATTAATAATTAAAAGTTGAAGGTAGCCTTCGTTAACTATGATATCATTTATCTTATCCACACGGATAAGATAAATGACTTGCTATTTTTTTTAACAATTATTTTATATCAGCCGTTTTTCTCTTACTCATAGATTATGTGATCGAATTCATCAATCACCAAATCATAGCAATAAACATGTTATCTTTGTAAAAAGTAAAGTTTCAATTTATGAATTTATTATTACTTTTGCGAACTCTTCAATATTCCCACATTCACTTCACCGCACTTCTGCATTTACAAAGTTTTATTCATTGATGTATAATAAGTGGTGCTGTCAATTCTGAGTTAACACACTTTGACAATATTTTCCACATTGCATTTTTTTTGTACGCAATACTTTTTGTGAACAGTGTGCGTTATGTGCAGTTAGATGTATTTTATTTTCACGCCTAAAAACATACTAATTGGAATACCGCTACCGAAGTGAAGTTGCGGAGGAAAAGGTTTGTAAGCAAAAAGCTCTGCTTTTGCTTTACTTGTCAGACAAGTGTCAATCAAAGGTATCTGTTACATACTATATCTCGTGTGTAACAGATATAGATAAATGATAACTCTTAAAAGAAATGATTGCTTTATTCAAAGTTTTTTCATAGGCAGATCTATACCTTTTGGACGACCCGCTGTCGGCTGTGGACACTCACGTGGGCAAACATCTAATATCCGAGTGCATCACCGGCCTCCTGCGGAACACCACACGCATCCTAGTAACCCATCAGCTGCATCATCTTAAGGCAGCCGACAATGTCATAATTCTACGCAGTGTAAGTATCTTAAATATTACAATTGTGTATATATATACATACAAAAGACAATCACACCGCTATACCAATAAATACTAGGCCTTGTTCTTATGCTACGTCCCGTAGCGGCTGTGTTCTGTCGCCTATATATATATAACAGAGTTACCAATTAACATACTTTGGTTTGTTGTACAAAAAGCAGGAGATACTCAATAAGACTATACTATTACTATGTATGTTACCCTACATCTTCGTTGACCCGGTTTTAATGATTCTGTTTTTGTTAAAAAGGTTAAATTATACTCAGACATACTGTAGGCGTGGTTGTGAGTGTTCCTATACATATTTGAAAATATTTATTTCACCTCTAAGGCTTGAAACATAGGGGATGACGTTTTTAATGTTATTAGATAACAAATCACAAGGCAATTCTAAATCCAAATTGTAGCAAAGGCATCGTCAAAAAATAAGCATTTAGTTATCAATCGCAGACAATCGTGTTGTGAGGTCCGGGTAGGAAACGCGGGCGGAACGTTTGCTTATGTATACAGGGCGGAACGTTCCTGAACGACCGAACAACCATAAAACAAACAGCCGTTCGGGAGGATTGCGGCATGACTTTTACGTTGTAAATAAACTAGAATGGTTCACACTATGTGGGCGGTAAAAAGCTGTCGGTAGTCCTCATTTATTTATTTCATCAGTTTCCTCTTACAAAGGAAAGGTAAAACATACTTTAGTTCAAAATTCATGTTACTTATAAAAATGCAAGATGGTAATATTCTAATAAGTACCACCATTTACCTGTTGATATTTGGTATACTTTTTGAACACAAATTGTAATTAATTTGTAAATGTGTAATTAAAAAAAATGTACTTTATTATTTCTTAGTTCTTACATGTGTGACAACCCTTGCACATAGTGGCGACGAATGTAGACGATTTTTCGACAACATCAAACGCGATGACCGACTGTATGTTATTTTCTTGGATTGTAGAATTGTTCAATAGTCTCAAAAATTCCGATATACAATTTACCAAATCAAATATGCACGCACGGTAAACACTGAAAAAAGTAACAATCGTGAAATTTGCACAAATTATTAATTTCATGGAGTATGTGTGAGTGACAGGCGCCAGCGGGACGCGTACAGAGCGGGCCTTTGAATACCACACCCTGACACGGGCTTGAAACGTAGCATGTCACTAGGTACGTTCGAATGTGTTAAACATCTAGCTGTGATCGGTTTTACCAAAAATTACGAATGAAAACTTTGTTTCATCATAACACTTGACCATAAATGCTATGTTTTCAGTAAAAACGATTTAAAATTTCGTTGTTTATAATATGATAATGATACACTATATTACATATATTGATTACTAGCTGTTCTCCGCGACTTCGCTTTCGTGTTAGGGTTTTTATTTTTTTGCGCGGAACCCTAATACTTTTTCTAAAATAAAAGTAGCCTAAGTTATTCCTTATGACATCATCTATCTGCCAGTGAAAGTCCTGTCAAAATTGGTCCAGCCGTTTCGGAGATTAGCCGGAAAAAACAAACAGACAGACAGACAGACAGACGGACGGACAGACAGACAGACAGACAAAAATTTAAAAATTGCATTTTAGTTATAAGTACCGTATTTACATTCATATGCATTTAGTAAAAAGCTGTTGTTTTGACATTACAAACAGACACTTCAATTTTATTTGTTTATATAGATACTTTATTTTAGGTAAGAACATATACGGGAAAAAAACTTATCTTAACAAAATTGAATGTAAAGAAACTCATTAACAACGTAGTGCTCCCAACAACTACCGGCATAATTGTGACATGGATGTTATACAGGGTATTTTTGAAACGCTCCCGAAAACAAAGACAGACGACAGTACCTTACATGATGGGTGAAACATAAAATCGATCCTGATGAAAAAACATATCTTTTCACAACATTTTATTTGCTTGATTCATTCTCTATCATGTTAGTACAGCTAAATGAAACGATAATTTCATTAAAAAATCATGAAAATACTTAAACATAAAACCAGCAGTGGAATTATTGAATTACAATCAGGTGACTAGGGGTCAATGTACGCGCGAACGCCGAATTCGCGCGGCCCGCAGCTAGTGCCACTAGCTGTGGGCCGAGCGCTCACTAGCCTAGTGGGCCATATCACAATACCTAATAATTTACAACACTTGTCTAAATACCTAACTTATCTACTTAACCTACTATTTTGCCACTGTGCTTGTCTCCACGTAGCCACTTTAATTCGAATTCACAGGTTAAATAACCCACATAACTAGTTCGATTCCCCACTAATGAAAAAATACTTAAATGAAATGTAACCAAGGTAAGAGTCATGTGTTTTTATTCATCGTGTAGGTATGTTTATTATTCGATGTATTCAGTTATGTACCCATTCAGATCAGTTCAGTACTAAGTTACTTAAAAAAAAATAGGTATGAAACAGCTTACCGCTCTAAATCTTCCGTGGTGATGTGCTCAATGAAACCAGGCACACGTTGTTGCTGGTCTAATAACCAACGGCAAAAAACTCGCCGGCGGTCGTGATCGCCGGGAACTAAAGCTTGCACTTTGTACACTTTTTTATGGGCGCATTCGGTTACACTTTAATACTTTGTGAACTTTACAGTATGACACACTTGTTTCATCCCGACGCCTTAACAATTTAACGATACTTCGTGTACCTAGGTTCGGATTCCAGCGAACGACATCTTAAATGCGCTCCTCTGAGTGAACAGCCACTTGACTTCCACCTCCTGCCACCAGAGCGATGAGCCGATTTTCCAACACGCTGAAATGCTGCTGTTATCAGACGAGAGTCAGCTGGATGTCGAGCGGTCGGGAATTTCTCTCGGTAAATTCGCAATGCATGCGAAGTATTCCCGCGAGCTTCTCCAAGGCACATTAACGTGTTGCCGTATTCACGAGCACTATAAACGTACGCGTTAGGCATTATAAAAAAAAAACCAAGAAACTTAAAACGTAATAACAAGAATAATATCATTAAGTAATAAATAACAAGTAATAACGACAAATGGCTGTATTCTGAATGACGAAGTTTTGAGTTTAAAGAGATGGAAGGAATACTTTGAAAGCGTGTTTATGAGTGATGAGACGTTTGAATTAAATGAAATAGAAATTCCGAAAGAAGAGGAAATAGATAGAGATATAAGTATAGATGAAATAATGAAAGCAATGAAAAGTATGAAAGCAGGTAAGGCAGCCGGTTATGATAGAGTATCTCTCGAAATGCTAAGGGCTGGAGAAGGAGTGGTGGCAGACCTGCTGTACACCTTGTTTAATTTATGTTGGGAACTTAAGCGGGTACCGGGAGATTGGTGGAAAGCCGTGATAGTCCCAATATATAAGGGAAAAGGATCACAGCAGGACTGTAAAAACTACCGTGGTATCAGCCTTCTTAGCATTGTGGGAAAACTGTATGCTAAGGTACTAATTGAAAGAGTTATGAAAGAAACTGACGGAAAAATTTGGGATGTGCAAGCGGGATTTAGAAAGGGAATGGGATGTACGGATCAGGTCTTTTCCATGCGCATGATCGCCGAGAAGTTTTTGGCCAAAAACCAAAAAGTTTTTTGTGCGTTCATGGACTTGGAGAAGGCTTATGACAGAGTGGACAGGGATGTGTTATGGCGAACACTGAACTCATTTGTGTTGAGCGCTGGTCTGATACAGGCATTGAAGTCTATATATAGGGACTCTAGTGCTTGTGTCAGGATCAACGGGGCCTATTCGGACTGGTTTGACATCCATAAAGGTGTCAGACAGGGCTGTGTGGCTTCCCCGTTGTTGTTCAACCTATTTATGGACAGTTGTTTGGAAAATTTGAAAGTAGAAGAATGCGGGTTAAGAATGGTTGAGTTAACCGTCAAATGCCTTTTGTACGCCGATGATCAAGTCATACTTGCGTCGTCGGCAGCCGAGTTGCAAATGATGGTTACATTAATGAACAGGACATTAAAGGAAAAGGGAATGAAAGTGAACGCAAGTAAGACGAAAGTTATGGTTTTTGAAAGAGAAGAAAGTAGAACGATATGTGAAATAAGAATAGAAGGGGAGTTGGTAGAGCAAGTAGATGAGTTTGTATATTTGGGATGTGTGTTTAGCAGCGATGGTAGATATGATAAGGATATAGAACGACGAGTGAATGCAGGAAATAGAGTGAATGGGGCTCTACACTCTATTGTGAAAAGTCAGAATGTGTCCAAAAAGGCACGTATGGCAATTCACAATGCTGTGTTAGTACCTACTTTAATGTATGGTAGTGAAAGTTGGGTGTGGCAAAAGAAGCATGAGAGTAGAATAAATGCTGTAGAAATGCGGTCATTAAGGAGTATGTTAGGGATGAAGCTGAATGACAGAGTGAGAAATTGTTTAATAAGAGAAGAGTGTGGTTTGCAAGATGATGTTGTGACCAGGATTAAGAAAGGAATGCTTCGGTGGTTTGGCCATGTAGAAAGAATGAATGAGGAAAGAGTGACAAAGCAAATTTATGTTGCAGAGGTGAACGGCATAGTCGGGAGGGGTCGCCCTAGGCGAAAGTTTATCGACCAAATTGGCGATATATTAAAAATGGGCCAAATCAAGAGTACCTTTAACCGACGAGCGTGTATGCGTAGGTATATGAATGTGGAGGAAGCGAGAGAGGTGTGTCAGGATCGTGCCAAATGGAAGTCCATAATCTCTGCCTACCCCTCTGGGTGACAGGCGTGAGTGTTTATGTTATATTTAATAACGACAATAACTTAATAAACAAAACAATTGAACTGTCTGTTTTGATAGTCAACACGGATCGATCGAATTGATCGATAAATCGCTCAGTGCCCAGGTTCAAGGCCAGCGTTTTCACGTGACAGGACCTATAAGAGTAAGGCGCCCGCGAGGATATTGACCCTATTGTCAGCTGATGTTATTTTTAAGTTTCACTGCTGGTTTTTTGTTTAAGTATTTTCATGATGTTTTTATGAAAT